CCATCAACTTTTGAAGTTCCAGATTCGATACCTGTATCCAGCCAGGGCATATCTGTGAGTAATTGAGTGTAGATTTGATACCTGTATCTAGCCAGGGCATATCTACACGAAGAGATTGAAGATCAACCCCCGTAACAGGCCAGGAAATTATCTTTCTTTCTCAGGTACGCAAGTTCTCGCTAAGGAATCTCTTACGCGATCGACACCTTCCGATGGCATCTATAAGCCCATCCACCTACCAACAGTCTCCAAATGGCATCTATAAGCCCATTCACGACAAGATTTTGTCACATCTCCAGATGGCATCTATAAGCCTGTCCTCTTATCCATCATCTCTCCAAATGGCATCTGTAAGCCCATTCCCAACATCACATTGCTGATACCACTCTATGTGAGTGCAAATTTCTGGGCACTCTAGTGTTCAATCATCTTCCACCTTCGGATCACGAAAGGCACGCAAGCCAATCTACATCCTCAGGTTTAAGAAGATTGAACAGGGGCAACTGTTGTACCCCAAAATTTTCCCTCCCATATTCTCCAAGATTTAACAAGAATCATATTCAAAAGGCTCAAGATTTCTCAAGGGATTGCACAGTCAAACATGCCCCCTAAGCCAGTCAAAATTAGGGTTTTGGTTCCTTCAGTGAATTTGAGGTTTTCAAGGGCTCAATCAAGTCATATATGCCTATATACATTGTCAAGCATCTACATGCCAAGTCTCAAGGCTCACGGCATCAAATTACACAGTCAAAAGCCCTATTTGGTTCACAATCAACTACAGGGGAAAAATGGTCATTTTACAGTCAAAAGTCAAAAATTTTGGTCAACATCTTATTTTGAAGCCACAATCATCATTTGATCAAGTATTTATCATAATTCCTCAAGCATGGCTCAAAAATCATCAAGATGCCAAAAGTTTCTATTTTTGGACAGTTGAAAAGTCAACTGTAAATTGACCAAGGCATAACTTTTTCATGGTTCATCAGAAAAATCCCATCCAATGCTCATTTTGAAGGGGATGACATTTCCTACAACTCATCTTCACATTCCAAGTCCAAGAAATGCTCTCACAAAAAGTTATCAATTTCTACATTATAGGTCATTTTCAAATGTCAACAAAAAGGCATTTTAAGTCAAAGACCATAACTTGGGATTGGTAAATCAAAACGACATGGGACCAAAGGCATTGGTTAGAGGACTTCAAGACCTTTCCAAAATGTCCAAGAACATGTTCATAGGATAAAAATTGAGCAAGATATGCATTGGAGAAGTTGGGAAATTTTTGGGAATTTACAAAAGTCAACTTTGCCCAAAACACTTCATTTTTGCTAATGGGCCTCAAATTCTTTCTTGAAACATTGCCCAAAGCATATGCACGACCCATTGAACTTAAATTGATTTATTTTCTTATTTTTAATTAATTAATTGAATTTTTATTAATATTAATTCATTTAATTCATTTAATTGTAGGAAAATTCAAAAGATATGGTTTTCAAATCTTTTTGTGATGCAAATAAACTCAACACATGCTGAAGATTTCATGTATCAATCAAGGAGACAAAAACATCCAATTTTAGCAAGTTTTGTCAATCAAAAATATGCAAAAATATTTGATTGAAAATCAAATATGCAAACATGAATGCAATGGATTTTTGGACCAAGATTTGACCTAAAACCATTAAGCTATAAGAGCATAAGCAAAACCTAATTCCTCACACGTGCAAAGCTGCTGCAAGAACCATAGCCAAATTCCAAGAATTCAAAGAAAGCTTGAAATTGTTTTTCATATTGCAGACCAATTCAAAGCCTTAGAACGATTCCAATACATTGCTGGGACATTCAGGAACGCGTTGCAATCCAAAACAAGCCTTAAAGCTCCAGGAATCACCTCAAACAGTCACACGGTTTACCATTCTTTTCCATAATCGAAACTCAAGTTTTATGCATCATTAACATGTTTTGATTATTGCTTTGCATTGCTAACATCATTCTGAAGCTTTTGGTATTGATTAATTGCCTTATGGTGCCCTGAAACGCAAAACACCATTAATGAAATCTAGGCTTTCAGAGCTCTCAGATTAGGGCTTTCCACATACAGTAAAATTGGACTATCTCACGCATATGGTTGAAACCGCCTGGACAAGACGAATTGAATAAGACTATCGCGCCCAATTTATATAGCTCAGGGACCTATTCGCTATTTTCCCTCGTCCTATTTTGTGGGGGTTAAAACCCCCGCTAATTGCTTTTGTTTTATAGGAAAAAGGATGAAGACGAAGGGCGTGTTAGCTTGCTACTGGATGATTTAAATGGCGCGCGTTTTTTTCATAATTGTTAGCACATGTGTTTGGTTTCCTATAATATATTTATTGTTTACTATTATAACAAATGCGTTCAGTTGGTTCAGTGGTACAGGTGCTGGAAAATGATCATTGGGACCTGGGTTCGATTCCCAGGTCCCCCCAAATGCTTGTTCATATTTTTTCTAACTCAATCACACGCAGGCTTCCTAAATGTATCCCACCATATGCCTCATCCTGATGCATGCCATGTGGCCACCACTATCAATCCAATGGCCAAAGAATGAAGACCATGGTGCTCATGAGTCAACGCAGGCGTGGACAACCAGGAAGGTCAACAAGGCTTGAATGTTCATGGGCCTAAAATTTCCAGTCAACACCTCCATCTGGGCCAGCATACCCCCCCTGGTTTACTATCTTTTTCTTTGTTTATTTTCTTTTTCTTTTATTTTTATTAACAATTATTATTATTATTAACCAACAAACTAATTTTTTATAATAAATTCAGAGATAAAAAAAATTGTAAATATTTTTATTATTTATTATTTTTATTATTAACTATTATTTTGTAAATAAACATTAACCAAATTGAATTAGTTAAATTAGGTTATTTTAATCTCTTTTTCACAATAAATAAAATAGGTTAGAATTAGGGTTTTGTTTACTAACTTTTTATTTCTTTTATTTTCATTAAAATATAAAAAAACACAAAAACATTTTTTCTTTAATTAAATAATTAATTAGAATTAGGTTTAATGTTTGATTAATTGCAAAAAAAGGACAAACTACTTTCTTTATTTCTCAAAAGGGTCAAAACCCTAAGGACGTTCCAATTTAATTCTTTCGCACATTATTCTTATTTTTGATTATTTATGTAACTGTTTCCGGAATGTAATAGTTAATTAGGATTTTATTGCTTTCTTTTACTTTCCGTATTTATTTTCCAAAACAGGTTTTTGTTTTTGGCGATGTATAGACCCGCGCCTTGTAATAGCGTAGATTCATATTTCCGCAATTTATTTTCCGCACTCTTAACTGTTAATATGCATGAAAGACTGAATGCCAAATAAAATTAACTCGTAGATCACCAAGATGCATGTTCAAAGATAAACATAAGCTGAATTGAACACACATGCACATGCCACTCCTAGGGTACGCCTCACTGGTTGCCTCGAACGTGGTCGTCAAGTATAGGGTGTCTTAGAGGTCGCCCTCCTGTCTAAGATCCAGTTGCCTCGAAACGGTTGCCTCGAATAAAAAAGGATCTAGGACATTAGGGTTAATTCTAAGGTGTCCTACTATTGCTTCGGTGACCACACTGTCCCTACAATCGAATTGACCCGAATACCTCCAACGACGGTGCTTCCTACTTCTCAATAGTGGGATAGCACTGTTTAAAGGACTCTTACACAGCCTAATTCCTTAGAATAGGTAGATTCTCGTGGGTACTTGCTCTCTCAAAACAAAAAAAAACAACTTTTCACACTGACACTTTCAAAAGTTTTCAAACAAATTTTTCATACACTCTTGAGGACAGATACAAGAGTTACTTAGAAATTTTTCAAATGAAACTTTTTTCAAAACCCACACACACTTGAAAAGCAAACAATTTTTGAAAACATAAGAGCAAGTACCTAAGAGTCCGTGGATAACCACAGATAGAAAGGGTGCTAACACCTTCCCTTTCTATAAATCTACCTCCCGAACCGAGAAACATTCTCGAAAAGGAATTTTTCTGTGCTTTTGTCCTTTCCTTGTTGGAGAACATAAAAGACGGTGGCGACTCTTGCTTACCGCGACATTTCGCGAAACCAGCTTTAAACAGTCAGTTCTATTTCCACCGATCACACACATCATTCATCAACACTTTATACTCATTGATACATCACAATAGCACTTAAACATCCTTCATTATCAATTCTTTATATATTCACATAGTTCACAATTATCATCACATCACATAATTCATGCAATGTCATATAGAATTCTAATGCAACAACACTAACACAATGCATGTGGTAACCTGGATCATCACCCTCCATAGATCTCCACCATAGGATCAATTCTCTCTTGGAATCAGAGCACAACATAAATTTCTACCATTATCATAGGTAACACTTCACTAAATATCTAACAAGGACTTAGCTAATTGAGGCTCAACATGGGAGGATCAACATCCAAAAATGTTATGAATGAATAATGCACAACAACGAAATATATCAATTCGACCATGGTTATTCAAGTGCATCATCATTCACATAATCATCATATGATTATTCTATACATAGAATGTATACATATTAACATGCACATCATTCAAACATAATCCCAAACAACATAAATTACATCACAACAACATCATAGAAACATCATAACAATTTCATGGCAACATTAAGTTCATTCGTTGAAAAACAGAACACCTCAACATATTACACATACAATAATTCTAAACTCATAAACACATAGACACTATGATAATGCATCATTTAACTCATTTCATCTGTTATTATATATCTCTATGTGCCAGCATCCCAATGCTTCGATCGGTGCGTCAAATAGAGTCCTGAAACTCGAGTTACGACCTTTAAAAGTTACTGCCAGGTTTGCTCGCCCAATGACGGTGGTGGCGCCCTCCTCACCCGACGCTCGCCCGACGAGGTTGTGGAGATGATCCATCCCCCATAAATTATCCAGGAGCTCTTATTTTCCACCATTTCCTCTTGCCGCTTGTATCGCCAGGTGACGCTTGGGAGACTCTCCAGCCCCTTGCTCGCCCGACGACACATGCGATACTGCAACTTCTGTTGCAATTTCGCTACTGATACTAGCCATCCCAATTGAGATTATAGATAATATACTCATTCTAAAATTCATTATAAACACCATGTATCACATACTAACATCAAAACATGTATAGACACATATTAGGGTTAAATCATGGCATTCATATATCACTAACATCAACAATTTCATCATTATTTCATCAAATCAATCATACAATAAAATCCAACATCTACCTTAACCCCCTATCGATCATAATAAACTCGATTACACCCCTTACCTAGAATTCCTTAGCGGTTTGATTCTCTCTTCAAGTTTGACTGAATCCATTATTTGTTCTCTGTGCCCAAGCTCTTCTTTCACCTTTTTTCCTTTGTTTCTCTCTATTTCACGATCTATGTAAAAGTGTTCTCACTCTCCCCTAATTTTCTTCTTATATTGCCCCTTGGACCCTTTCTATGATCTTCCCATCATAATCTCACTAATCCTCATTATTTTTACCATCATGTCCTTAAGATCTCCACACAACTAATTATCTTATTTATTTTATTAACAAACTATATTAATATAACTAAAATTATTTAAATCTGAATAATTCTAATTATCACTTCTATCCCACTTACTACTCCAGAACACATCATCACACATTACATGAAATCAACAATAAATCACAAATAATCAAATCAATAAATAATTCTAAATTTCAGGGAGTTACACCTAGAATCAAGCGAACAAACGATAAATAGAAACACAAGAAACATCGAGCAATTCTTGTGGATAACAAAAACAAAATTGGAGCAATCAGTACCTAACAGACGAATCGAAATGAAGAATCAAAAATATGAATAGAAATGACAAATAGAGAGAGAGAGAGACAAACATGATAGATTAATCGAACCTAGAAACAAATCTATTTCCTTTCAAACACGATGAAACCTTGAACCTAGAACCTGGAACCTGGAAGCGATGAGAAATAATTTAAATTAGGGCATCGAAAAGAAATATGATGACAAGATTTCAAACTGAAGCGATTTTGGGAAACGATTTCAACCTGAAGTGATTTTGATAAGCGATTGCAACCATAAGCGATTTTGAGAAGCGATTGCAACCTGAAACGATGAAACGGAGAAACTATGAAATGATGAAATGATGAAGCGATTGCTTGAATGACTCAACCTGAAGCGATGAAACGATTTCAGTATGAGAAGCTAAAGCATGAATGACTCAACCTGAAGCGATGAAACAATTTCAGTCTGAGAAGCTGAAGGGATTTTTTCTTTTGTTTTTACTTTACAATTCTAATTCAATTTACTAAATAGATTATGTTTTTATTTTCTTTACTAAATACATTTTAGTAAATAGATTTTGATTATATTTTGTTAAATAATTTATAATATTTTATTTATTTTATTTTATTACATATATTTTAATTTATTTTTTGTAATATTTTATTATTTTATAATATTTTATTGATATACATATTTTTATTTTATAAATTAGATTTTAATTAAATTTTTAAAAAGCTTAAATTATTTTAGTTAAAATTTTATTTTATTTTAATTTATAATCTTGATTTTATTTTATAAATTTGAGTTTAATATAGTTTTGATTTTATTTTATTAATTTTAAATTTTATTTTATAAATTAAATTTTAGTTAGTTTTATTTGATTTCTTAATTTATAGTTAAAATAATCTACTAACAAATTATTTAAAATAATAAAAAATGAACGAAATTGGTGGGGATATAAAAATTAATTGGCACCAAAATTAACGTCAACCAAAATTAACGACATGCATCGTGTCTGACACTTATATGACACATGTAGTGTCGAAAAAGTCAGACAAGTGTCCCTAAATAAATGATTTATTTTCTTTTCTTCAACACTTTAAAATTCGGTGTCTGACACCCGGTTGACATTCACACAACATGTATCGAACAATTCAGACAAATATTTAAAAAAGAATTTATGTTTTTCTTTGCTTCACCACACCCTATACATTTTTAGGACAAATCTCACACATACTTAAAAGCTTTAAGCTTGTATTGAAACAATGTTATCCATAAAAAATTAAAGAGAATGATTTTGATTAAGATATTTTTAACTCATTTAATAATACATGAATACTTTGTCAGAAAGAAACACATTGTCGTTGAACACTATATCACCAACATAGTTCGAAATGGATATGAAAGAGAGTCACTTGATACTTATGATTCAATGATGTTACATGAATCGGTTAAATCTTCTCATATAACATTTGCTAATATTTTTAGTGTTTGTGGTGGTTTGTTAGATTAAATTATGGTAGAAGAAATCATGGGTTTGTGCCTAAAGTTGGTCTTGATAGTAATATTTATGTGGTGAATGCTCTTTTATTCTAAGTGTGGCTTAAATTTAGATGCTTTTCAGGTTTTTTTAGGATATTCGTGAGCCTAATGAGGTTACTTTTACTATAATGATGGGGGATCATCACAAATAAATCAAGTCAAGGAAACTTCGGAATTGTTTAGACTCGTGTTGAGAAAATGGATTCATGTTGATTCTATTTCCTTGTCTACCTTCTTGGGTATATGTGCGAAATGAGTATATTTTGATCTATGTGATGATAGTCGTGGGTTTTTTTACTAATGCGCAAGGAAAACATATACATACTCTCGCGATTAAAGTTGGGTTTGAGAGAGACCTTCTTTTATGCATTTCTTTGCTTGATATTTATGCTAAAACTATGAAACATCAAATCAAATTTAAATTTTAAAAAAGAAAAGATAAAAATCTGCAAGAAACCCTAAACCTCAAGAACAAAAATTTGTGAACATTGTTAATTTTATTTTGATACTCGTATCCTTCTTGTATCTCCAGATCTATCTATTTCCTAAAAAAACTAAAAGGGGAAATATGTTATAAAAGAAGGTGAAAAGGAGAAAAAAGCTAATGATTTTGAAAAAAATGAAGAGATGTGTAACTTGACCCATCTTTGAGATTTGTTACTTGAATGCATAAGAACAAATCTGTTACTTGACCCATCTTTGAGATTTGTTAAACTTGATGTATTGTTTCGTCACCTATTGCAAATAAAAAAAAAAGGAAATTGTAATAATAATATATGGGTATGGAGGAAGATTCCTCATAACAACAAGTTGAAAAATATTATAGCATGTTAATTAGAAAAGTAAACATGACTTACATGAAAAGAGTTTGAAAACAAAAAACGAAAGTAGATGATGAAAGACTTGGAAGAAGAAATTGTTATTGGCTCCAGATCCAAAATCTCATCAACAATATTTTATAGATCTAAAGAAGAAAATGAAAGAGAAGCAAAAATAGGATCTTCAATCTATGAAACATCAAAAGTAGAAATGAAGTCATAATAGATTCCATACAAAAAAATGAGAAAATGATTCGAAGATGAAGACAAATAATAAAATAAAATGAATACACGAAGAAGATAAATTCATTTTACCTAATATGTGAAAGACAAAGGTTTAGGAAATGGAGTTGTTGTTCACTTAGAGAGGAGACAAAGTTGAAGTTTGGAAAGAGGAAGGAGATAATGAATGAAAATGTAGAGTAAGAGATATGGAGTTTAGAAAACGTGTAATTGTGAAATGTTGGACAGTGTGCAGAGTAATAGACTGTCTGATTAAGAAATTTTGGGTTTACCAAGGTCAGGAATGGAAAAAGGGAGATTTGAAACAAATCAAAAACTAAAAAGGCAATAAAGATTACTTAGAATGACCTCATAATCATAATGGTTATATGGAGAGGAAAAGGCACCAATGTCATGACATTTCGATCAATCAGTTTATTACCATTTAACCTGAAATTGAATTAGTTGGAAGAAATAGGTTTAAACACTAAAAGCCCCCAAATTGGACATGTGTCATCGCGAAAGTTGAGGGTAAAATTGGTGTTTCCAGAATAATCAATCTTCTTATGTTATAGATAATCATGTGTATAATAATCATTTTACCCATATATATATATATATATATATATATATATATATATATATATATATATATATATATATATATATATATATATATATATATATATATATATATATATATATATATATATATATATTAAACACAAGGAATAGAATATATCACTCTCATATAGTCGAATATTATATTCCTTGATCCTCAAGTATACTTGATAACAAAAAATAAATTCAATATCTCATATTAACTTATTTGAGAGAGATCGTGCATTTTACGTTCATACTCGATAAAATGGATCATATATATTACTCACATAGATGTAGGATGGGCAAATCCCTTCTAGCTCACTCACGTCTATTATGGTTTCAGGCCAAAGCGCAGAACACTTCATTATTATTATGAGAATAACTTTTAATAATTACATAACACACTACGTATAAGAACAAGATTTGGTTCTGCATATAATCTCTGAGTTTTGATGATAAAAATACATATATTTTATGTGTAACAATTTTGGTATCTAATAGTTATTTTATTGTGCAGATAAAACATTCAAATTGATTCAGGATTGTTGTATGAAGAATCATCAGAAACGTGTTTAGCTCGCATCATAAAGACTATCGTTTAAGTTCTGAAGAAACATCAGTAGTTCTGATGAATACTGAATTTTCATCAGAAACAGAACCACATGTACTTCTCCATATAAATTGTTGCTTCAGAAGTCAAGTGTGTTCAAAAAAGAATATACAGTGAAGATCAGATATGAAGCTTTTGCTTCAATGATCAGAAAATAAGATAAAGTGCTTCTCAGATAAAGCTTTTGCTTCCATGCTCAGATATCAAGAAACTATTTATCAGATATGCTCCTATTATATATATGAAGAATAAGTTATGGTTTTGAAGACTCTGATACCTTTGGGAACACTAAAAAATAAATATCTTCTGGAATATTCATCTCTTCATATCAAAATCATTCCATCAAAAGATTGAAAAACAAAGACATAATCTCTTTTACACTCTCTTACTACTTCAAATCAGAAGTATCTCAAATAGAAGAAAATATCAAAAACTTATGCAATAAGTAAACAAGTACAACTGTCGGCACCTTTTCCAATATTTGTGGTGAACAGAGTGTACGAAAGAAGTTTTTGTGTGATCCTTATTTCCCATGTTCATACGCTACTGTTGTAGCAGGCGGCTTGGTGAAAGTAATGTTTTCCAACGGTCTTCTTTTCTCAGCCTATATAAATGGATTTCCACTTCTTTGAAAACCAACAATTTTTTAATAACACTATCAACGAACAAATCAACAAAACTACACAAAGAAAATAATCAAAAGCATAAGAAAACAAAAGAGAGAAAATATTCAAAGGAAAAACATAAAGAGTTATTACTCAGATTTGTGTTAACTTATATTCTCTTGAACACAAGAGTTGTTGCTCATTTTTGTGTTAATTCCACCATTATTGTATACACAAGAGTTGTTGCTCATATTTGTGTGTAAACATTTGTTCTTCATTGTGGTGTTAAATATGCTTTTTAGAAGAATTATTGTAAATATTGTTTGATTATAAATCTTTCTAGATTTATTTCCTCAAGTGACTAAGTTGTAGTCAGAATTACTTGAGACGACTAAGGTGTTTTTCTAAACTCTTAGAGGTTGTCGTAATCTTTCTAGATTATTGGATTAAGTCATTTTCTAAGGAAAAATCACCTTGGCGGGTGGACAAGAGTAGCCTTTTCTAAGGTGAACTTGTATAAACCAAACATGTCTCTTTTCTTTCTTGCTTAGTTATCATTGCTTGTTTGTGAGAAGCATTTGCAAAAGAAATAGTTTTTGAAAACCCCAATTCAACCCCCCCCCCCTCTTTCTTGTGTTTTTCTCAATATCCAATTGGTATCAGAGCTTCGGCTCTATCATTGATTCTCAAATTAAACACTTAACCGTATAGAGAGATCTAGTGTGATAAAAAATTCTATGGTTGTTGCTCATACAAACGAAATAGATGGTTACAGTACTAAGCCTCCTATTTTGTATGGATATAGTTTTTAACTATTGGAAAGATACACTAGAAATTTTCTTTCTAGGATATGATGTTGATCTTTGGGATCTTGTCATTTTTGGTTATGAAGCACTTGTATCTGCGATTGGTATTCCATTCTAAAAAACAAAATGAATGATGATCAAAAGTGCGTGCTCAAGAATCATCATAAAGCTAGAACGATTCTTCTCAACATTATATCTCATAATGAATATGTGAAGATCACTTATAGAGAAACGGAAAAAGATATTTTTGATTTGTTAAAAATGACACATGAAGGTAACACTCAAGTTAAGGAGTCTAAGGCGCTGGCCTTAATCCAAAAATATGAATTCTTAAAGATGGAAGAAGATGAAACTGTTGAAACTATGTTTTCAAGGTTACAAAATTTGGTCGCAGGACTTGAAGTTCTGGACAAGGGCTATTCTACAGCTGATCCTGTTAAAAAGATCATTAGGAGTCTTACTTAGTAATGGAGACATGTGGTTACTGATTTGAAGCTACCTAAGGATCTAAACACTTTGTCTCTAGAAGATTTGGTTAGCTCCCTTAGAAGTCATGAAATAGAGCTAGAGGAAGATGAGCCTCATAAAAGAAGTAAGTATGTTGCTCTAAAGTCAAAGTCAGGAAGGACCGAGTCAGAAAAGTGCAAAGCGTTCCAAGCTGAAGAAGTAGAAGATTCTGAAGATGGTCCTTCTGATGACGAAGATGAATTGTCCCTTCTTTCTAAAAGAGTCAAACAACTCTAGCAAAGACAAGGAAACTTTAGAAGACCCAAAAGAAGATAAGATCATTCAAAATCATCTGCAAGAGGAAGATCGAGCAAATAAGTTACTTTTTACGAATGCAAAGAACCAGAACACTTCAGAAATGAATGTCCAAAGCTTCATAAAGAAAGCACAGGAAAAGAAGGATTCAAGAAGAATACCTTCAACGGTAAGTAGAAAGGTCTCATGGAAACATGGGATGAATCAGTCTCTGAAGGATCAGATTCTGACGAAGAGCATGTGAATGTAGCACTCATGGCTACCACATCAGAAAAAGACTACACAAAAATCGAGTCTGACTCAGAGAGGTATTTTTTGAACTCTCTCGTGTTGAACTAGAATTATGTTTATCTGAATCTATGAGTAGTTATCAGATACTTCAACTAAAATTCAAGAACAATCAAAAAGTTCATAAACATGAAGTTGAAGAATATGGTAAGCTAGAGAAAGAAGTTTCAGAACAAAAAGGAGACATCTTTATTTTAGAAAAAGAAAATTTCTTTTTAAATGAAAAATGTTTAAAACTTCAATAAGCTATTTCTAAAGCATCTCCATCTTCTAAAACCGTCTTATACAAATATGATAAGGCATTTCAAAAACTCTTAAGCAATAGCAGAGATAGAAGCAAAATGGCTTCCATGATATGTGGTGTTAGTCATTATGGGAAAAGAGGAATTGGTTATAATTCTGATGAAGATATTCAATATAATAAACCATTCTCTCTATTTTCATATTTATATCCTTCTGCACAAACACAAATAATAAATATTGCACAAAAACCAAAAGTTATTAGAAACTCTGGGAAAACTAACCCTAAAGGACCCAAAAGTCTTTGGGTACAAAAAGAGAAATAGTGTATGTTGCATATATCTCATATAGAGCCGAATCACCAAACATGGCACCTGAACTTTGGTTGCTCATAATACATGATGGAAAGAAAGCATATGTTCCAAAGCCTGGAACTTAAAGATGCTTGATTCGATGGTTCTGGTGGAGATAAAAAAGGAAATAATAAAAGGATCTGGAATATCTAGTTTCGATGGAAAGACGGATGGTTCTGAGGATAAAGATTTCAACAAAAAGAACGATACTTATATAAGAAGTGTCTAAATACTTCTCAGTTTAGAAAAGGTTAAGTCTTATCCAAATAAGTGACTCTAAATTAAAGGCAAACATTGTCATAACAAGATTCACATTCAAAATATCTGAGGGAAAGCTTTTAGGATTGATGTCCTTATTAGAACCAACTTCTTATCAAGAAACATTTCTAATGACAAATGGATTATGGATATACAAGACGAGTTGAAATAGCTATCCAGAATTGATGATTCATTTGCCCATATTCTGAGGAACTTATGTCATCTAAATCCAATGACTTGTCATAAATGAAGTAATTAATGTGTCTTCAAAAAGTTATCACTCGATAGGTCAGAACTTCTTACCCTTTTATCTTAACTAATTTTATTATTGATTGTCTAGATACTTCTACAAGTTAGAAGGAGTCTCGATCATGATCTATTATGTCAGAAAACCTTTGGTATTTGTGATTCAAAATTATATCAGCCATTGTCTTTTCAAACGTATGGTTGTGATTCTCGTTTGACACTTGTGCACTTAAAATCATAAATGCATCGTTTGATTGACACCTCGAGCAGTGAAAATTCTTGAGATTGGGTTAAAATCATCATTACTTTTTCCTTCACATGTTTCCTATGCTTAAGTAATCATTTCAAAACTACTTTATAAAAACTCACATTTTCATCGTCACACACTTTTTCACTTCACTAACCACACTTTAGACTTTTCAAAACTCTAAAAAACCCTTTTCTCCTTACTTCGTACTCATCCATGGATGCTCATCAACAACAACTCTTTGTTTACACTCAAGAAATGCTTCGTCAAGAAGAATTCTCACAACAAATGCAGCAAGGTGATTCTTCGAATCAAGTGGTCTCAAGTTTTACACCACCCGATTCGGTAACTTTGAAACAAACTCTGGCTATGTTTCAACCTCCTCAAGAAATTCACATTCTAAATTGACCTAGGCATGTTCATTTAT